CCAACACTTGCCGTCTTTATATTGGGCCTACCTTCTATTTAATACTCGAATTTTTTGGATTTTCGAGCCCAACTTTTTCCGGCTCTTGTCTCTTTCGATAAGGCAGATTTTATTGGGCTTTTAATTCTGAAGAACATTTAAAAAAAAAAACGAGGACGTGGGCCTGGCCTTTTCTCACTTAATTGGGTCGGCCCATATTCAGCGTCTTCGACTGTGACAAATTTTAGGTACTCCCGCAGTCTGACGTGGCGGATTTCAATTTGCTGGATTCGGAAACATCCAGTGGAACTGTCACTGTCCCTTAGATAGGGGCTGATGGAAATAAAGCCTTCCTTCCCGAATCAGCTGTCTTATGTCATTTTCAATACTTTTTAAATCATCACAAATAATTGGTATGGAAATATTATTTGCTATAAACTTTTTAGAATAAAAAATCTTTTCATTGGGTTGATATTATTTACTAAAATTGTCTTGAATACCGTACAAATCATGTAAATGATAATTACAAGTATGCTGTTTTCTTATTTCTAATTAATTATAAATATATTAATTAGAAAATGTGAAAATATTGTTTTTAACTAAAATATTAATTTATTTTATTGATGGTATATATTTTTTATTATGACCATTATTTAATATTAACAACTAATAAATAATTAAATTTAAATACATCATTAAAAATTATATTTATTAGAATAATCATATAAAATTTTATTAAATTTATTGTTTTAATATTTAATAATAATGAATAATTTTAACTAGCAAAATATTTGGCTCCTCCGATAAACTACAATGAGTTGTTGTATAAAAATTTGTAATATTATATAATAAAATCACATTAACTAGGAAAAAAATATTATTATTTTTCATTAGGAGATACATTATTAGTAATATAAATTTTAAAAAATAGTTGTAAAATTTTAATACAACTAATAAAAAAGTTAAGGGTCTAGCTAGTAGACAAGAGAGAAATGGTAAGAGATTGATTAGGTCCTAAAATATAAATGATATCGTCCTTTTGATGGGTAGTTATTACAAATTTGAGGTGGGTCCCACTATCATTCATGTCGGTTTGATAAATAAAATGAAATTCTTGCTCCATGATTCTCATTCTCTTTTAAGTAAATTGGACTTCGAAGAATATTAATTCGAGAATTATAAGAAAAAAAATATATATTCGATATATGGATTGCTTATTACAATCTAACCTTGCCATCTTATTGAAAATTGTTTCATTTGATGTCTAAACTATTATAATTTTTATATTAATCCGTGGGCTTTTAAAAAAATTATTTTTGCTTGTACTAGTATTCCGTCTCTAATAAATGCATGGTTACGAGTATGTAAAATAATAAGCTAACATGAACATGTATTGAAGCTACGAAAATTAGTTACGATGATTATAACGTGACCGAGCATAGCTTAACAGTATAGATATTTTAATAATTACTTAGAGTTTGGAGGTTCAATCCCTCAACTTTATATTTAATGTACTAAAAATTAACTTTTACGTGGATATATGGTAATATCTCATTAATAATAACCAACCTATTTAAAAATAATAATAATAATAATAATAAAGCAAAAATAATAGCAAAAATAAAATAAGTTGAAGGACTAAAATAAATATTTTGAAACTTCCCATGCCAGAAAACTTACCTAAGATGGGGACCAAAATCACAGTGAGATTTAAATCTTTAGTAAACCATAAGTTTAAAATATTTTTATGACCCTTCATCTTTTTTAATTTATTTTTCTCTCAATGAAATTTGGTCTAATTCGTGTTTTCTTTTTCCTATAAATGCTATATTTAGAAATTTGAAACGTTATTCTTTCCCAATTTAAAAAAATGAAATCACATTTTCACTAAGATAATATAGTCGATAAGGACAATACGGACAATATTAGTAAATCCCTTAAATTTTACCTAGTTAGACTCTTAAAAAGTACAAAATACCAGATCTCAAAAATCATTTGTTATTGAAAAAATTCGAAAATCTCATTTATCCGAGTTTTCTTCTTTTTCTGTTGTTCTGTTTCCATCCATTACTTCGTCTCTGGTCGTCGTCTACATTATTCTTCATCGTCGGAACAATTCGTTTAGCTTCTCTTTCGTCTCCGGCTGCTCGTCCATTGTTTTCGTCCGTTTATCCCGAGGTTTCTTTTTTGTCGCCTGCCGCCAGTCGACCATTCGAGTCCTCCGTTTATCCCGACAATTGTCTAGTCGCCAATCAAAAGGTTTGTCGATTATTTGCTTTGTTTGTTAATTGTAGAGGGATATAATCGTATATATTTTATAGCCAGATATAGGTTATATCTCCATATAAGTGTATGTTATAATGGTTATAGTTTATATTACTATTGTTAAGTGTATGTTGCTTAATTTTATAGTCGGATATAGTTTATATTTCTATATAACTGAAAAGGTAGCCGGATATAGTTTATATATATATATTATATATATATTTCCATATAAGTGTATGTTATAATGACTATATTATTGGAATTTGGTCAAGAAATTGTAATAAAATGAAAAAATAATTGTAATAAATTTCATTATTTAGTAGAATATATTAAGGAGTAAATTTGGGGATTATGATAATAATTGAATATTTTGTAATAAATTTCATTCTTTATATATTAAGGAGTAAGTTAGGGGATTACGAGAATGATTGATTTAAGTCCCACAATAATTTAATATTTTCAAAATCAAATTTGGAATATTAATATTTTACGTTTAAATAAAAGACGAATTATAATAAATATAAATGTCATAAATAAGGGTAAATTTGACATTTGAAAAAGATTTTGAATCCAAAAATGTAAAATTGGTAAACATTGAACATTTATGAAAATAAATTTTCAAAATAATTTATCTAAGACATTTGGCATGTTATAGATTTTGGGATCATACCTGGGCCTCCCCTTGTGGATAGCCCAACTATGGCCTAGCCATAAATTTATTAAAACGCGAAGAGATGCAGTCTCTGCAAATTCTCTTGCTTTATTTTCGTTTCATATCTGCTGGATGATGAGAGAGATTCGAAAGTTGATGGAGATGATATGGTTGTGGGTTGTTCTGCTGTTTTTAAGTGGAGCTGATACGATGTCTACTACACTTCTTTAATTTTATTTCTTTTCTTTGTCATAAAAGAAAAAAAAAACTGAGCATAAATTTAAAAGATGACAAATATAAACAATTGGTTGGACCATAGATTCGGTATAATTTCTTTGACTAAAATTTAGTAATATATTTGGATTGGTTCGATTCATTCCAAACTTTTTTTTAAGAGAATCTTTGAACCTACCAAACCTATATAATTTTCATTTACTTGAACCAAATCCAATTCAAACCGTATTTTTTTCAGATTGTTGGGTTTTTGAACGTGGATCAGATTTAGTATGACTTTTCAAATTTAGAAAAAATTATAATAATATACATAGAGAGAGAGGTAAGAATTCGAACTTAACATATTAGAAAAATTATAATAATTCGAACTTACGATATTTTAATCAAAATATATATATATATTAACCAATAATTCAAACATATTTTTAGATGCTTGTTTCTTATCCAACATAATTTTACCTTATGCAAATCAGTCATATTGATAGCTGGTTAAATGAGAAGTTAGATATACATTTAATCAAATTTAGTGTATTAATATAATTTCAATAGTCAAAGTGAATATAGCGTAATTTATATATATCTTCAACCATGAGGTTGTGAGTTCGATCCCCTACCCCTACGTGTTCTACTGAAAAAATATGCCTTTTAAATTTGTCAAGATCTTGAACTTTTAAGTATATCCCAAACATTAGAATTCGTTTATATTTAATCATTTTTAAAGTCGTTCACTTTAAATATTATATTTAATAAGTTTATGACCGTTTGGTTGGAGGTTTAAAATATGTAGTCTATGATTAAGATGTATGAGATTAAGTTGTCTGGGAATAAGATATTGGGAAATCAAAGATAACTGTGTTTGGTCGCGTAGGGAAATATTAATTAAGAATTTTATAGGAATAAATGATTAATATTCTTATTGTTGAAGGGAAGGGTGTTAGATTTGTTTTAAAATTAACCAAAATCAACTTTCATCCATTAATTTACCTTACATAACTTTAAATAAATAATCGGTAGTTAATTTGTTTTTATTAAGTTAAATTATTTAAAAAATAATTCTAAACATTCTCTTCCTTCTTTCAAAGAAAAGAGGCTTCATCTCTTCAACTTTATAGTTCTAAAATTTTATTTTAATATCTTTAAGGGACAGAGTAAATTTGTTACTCGACCTTTTTAAGGGTAGAAAATAAATTTAAGTTTTTGTCGAAATTAAAAGAAAAAAAAAAGATAAACGAAAAAACTATGGTAACACAGCCCAAGGAAAAAATAAATTGTAGAAAAAAACGAGAAAAAAAAAGAACGCACAAACCAAAATATCAAAGAGCGAAAAAAGGAAAAGAGAAGGCAAATAAAGAGAGAGGTAATTTTAGGGGAGGGATGGAGGATTTTTTTGGAGAGAGAATGGTTAAAGAGAAAACAATAACGATGCCTCCCTTAATGATACCAAAAAAAGAGTTTTCGGCATATCATTTCAAATCTCCAACAAAACATGAGCTTTATATGTCAAAGTCCATTCCCCGTCTTAAACCCTCCAACCAAACGGTCCCTTATGCTATTTGTTATAGGTAAAACCTTACCCGTCATATGGTCACCCTCGAAGGCCACATATGTCATGGGCTCCGCCTAATCACAAATAAGTACGAGGTATAAGGGCTTGCGTAGTCGACCCATGTGTATAATAGCTCATGTTAAAATCTTTGAACGAGAAAATGTATTGAATGCCAATTGGTAGCGGAAAACTGACTACGTCGCGACTATTTGATAACACTTTAACTGATGGTACGACCTAGAGGCAAAAATATACGTCATCGAATATCTTCAACCAATTGAAAGAAGACGAAAGCCCTTTTGTTTATGCAAGAATTGCACAACGTCAATCTATCTCGAACTCGATCCTTGTTCTGACCCGAAATGTTAATGGAAGACCTGCACAAGATGGCAAAATCTCCGACGCTGAAGTCAGTAAGCAGCTTGGACTCAATATTAGGTTCGAGGAGAAATTGGTGAAACGAAGCCCTCTATTTATAGGTTTAGATTCCGACGGGCGGTTACCTTGGTCGGATTTGAAGTCGGATGTGTCGGGTTCGAGTAGATCGGACTCGGACACACTCCTGGAAATAACATGTTGGTTCATTAACAGGAAATGACAATATTCTCATCTCGGAAGGTTCCAAGATGGAGCTCCATAAGTTTGTTCCTCGAATCCTCCGTCGGAGGCGAATCTTCACCCTCCACGTGGGGATAGGATCTTTCATCTCCAAACACCTTTTATTGTATACGCTAACCTTTAGCACAATTCTCATGCTCTCCTATTCATTTTACTATGATCAAAGTACTGATTTAGACATTAAAAGATGGTATTAAGACGAGCGCCACGCTAACGTTGAATCTGATTGATAGCAGGTAACTCCCATAACAACAGTATTTGAGTCACACAATATCTCGCCAACTCAACTCGACCGCATAAACACCATTAAACACCTAAACGTGAAAGGCTGCGTGGCATTAAGTTGATAGACCAAGCTAATATTTAAGTCCTAACAAATTTACACCAAGATTATATTGTAATCTAAAAAGGTCACAATGACGTGCCACCCAAATAAATGGCAATCGGAGGTGTGTGATTTTTGACCATAAGTGTTTATTTTATTTTATTTTTAATTTTTAAGTTTCGAATAAAGTAAACAAATAAAGTGGTGGTCTAGGTTTCGCCCGCCCTCAAGAGATAGCTGATGGGATGTTACAACAAGGACAAGTGTCACACAATTTCTTCCAATTGTTCTATGCTCTACCTCATTTATGGCCTTTAAAAAAAGTGAAATACTGAATTTTTTTTTCAACCCATTATTTCAATATTTATAATAATTATTATTATTTTGACGAATATTTTAATATTATTTAAAAATATGAACATTTCAGTCTTTTTTTTTTTTTATATATAACATGTAGTGTGGGGATTCAAACTCACAATAGGTGTATTGCACTGAGTCTAAATTTTAAGAATTTTATAATTCAAGACGTTACTTCACGTGGTATAAATTATGCCTAATTCTTGAGTCAAATGTAAAACAACCATAATATTATTTTATGCTGTACCAACGTGATCATAATTTATTTAATGACCATATTCCATTCATGTGATATCAACGATAAAGATTCAATCAAATCTATTATGTCATTTAAGCAAAAGCGAAGCAAATAATAAAAGAGGAAAGATAATCGTTGTCACAACTCAATGTAAATAAAATTCGTGTTTCTTAATTTGGTCCCTCTAAATTGTTAGAACTGAATTTTTATTTGAATAAAAATTTTCCTAACCTTAAGAAACTTCACTGATATATCCTTAGTATCCATTGTTTTTAGTTTAACAATTACGAGCAGAAGATCAGATCRACGGCTTCTAAAGTAGTAATAGTTTAATAGATGTTTTACTTAAGGATTAAATTATCCACATTTTCTAAGGAGYTATATGTTCAATTAATCACTATCATAATATATGATGCAAATTGAGATATTAACTASATGAATACTATTTTAATTTCTATGCTTTGAATTTTAGTTATTTTAGTCTTTRTAATTTTAAAATRTTCAGTTTTTTAATACAATAAATAGAGGTGGGATATTTGAATTCATAATCTTTCCTAATTAAATTTATATTGACAATAATTTTTAGAGTATATAAATTAAAATAAATCAAAATAGAAAGCATGCCGACTAAAAYCAGCCTTTTTAAAAGAACCGCGCTAAAATAAATGTACAAATATAATATAAAATAGGAACGAAATACAACTAAATTAAATCGGAACTAAAATTATTATTAAATCTTTAAAAACGATCACATTGTTTTTGTTGGGCTGTAAAGGTAGATACAGGCGGGGCCCACCAAAAATCATAGTGGGCCCAGTCGGCAGGATGCAAGATCATGCGTGACGTTGGCAATATCATACAGGTGTCAGCACACGGGTCTCCTGTGTGAAAACCGCTGCCCAAAACGACAAAACAAGACGCCGTCGGGAGACGGAACACGCGTACACGGATTATGCCGTTGGGCCCCACTTTAGAGGAAGAAAAAAACAAATTTTATAATTTTAAAATAACAAGAAAGCGAGAGAGAGAGAGGCTCTGCTTTTTGCGACACGGAGAGGAGGGGACCTGGGACCCTTGTTTTAGCTATTGCCCTTTTCCATGTCTTTGGAAATGGTTTTTGTGGGACCCACTGATCTTGACATGTGGCACAATGAAAATTTGGATGCGCATTATTTAGTGGGTCTGGGTTGGGCACCACGTCATCTATACCGTCGTCTTTAAGAAATCCTGGTTGGTTATTAGTGGTAATTAGTATTTTTTTACCCTAAAAATTGTTAGATTGAATTTTTTACCCATTTTTAAATTTATAGTTTTTCTGACTCTTTTTTTTTTTACTTTCATTACAAAAATACCCTCACATCTCTCTTTCATCAATCTTCTTAGACAAACTCTCTCTTTTTCCAATTATCTTCTCCTTCAAATAAAATTCGTCAAAGTTTAGAAATTCATAAGAGACAAATTATTAAGAAATTAATGGTTAATCTTCTTGATTTATTATATATGGAAATAAAAAATAAATGAGTGGTYGATCTTAACTTGATTTATTATATATATGGATTATAAATGTCATTTGTATTCAATCCCGCTGCAATAACAAAAAATCTMTGTATTCAATCGAGATTGTATGAATGGTGTGCCAATTTTGATTGAAATCCATATAGGAATCTCAAATCTAATTTTTTTAAGCACTGATTTCGCATTATTCTAATGGTCATTGGAACCTAATTGACATGACAATAGAGCTTCTGATGAAAGCGCATCCTCAAACATTTAAAAAATTCAACTGTCTTGAAGGGAGTTTCGCAATYTGAGGGTTTGCAATGRCGTCAAAATTGAAATTGAAGTCATTGAGGTCATCCATTAGCTCCCAAGTGTTGACGATGGAATATGACAACGATGCAAGAAATACCGATTTGTSAATACCTAAGATCCTAAACACAATTCTTTTATGTTCGGTTGAATTCAATCATAATCCTGTCGGAATTTTAGCTCCCAAGTTTTATTTTCAGTTAAATCCCATGTGGAACGACGCATAGATATCAAAATTTGTAGCGAGATTTTTTCAATATGAAAATTGAAGGGAGAAAGAAGATCGAGATTGAAAGAGTTGAGGAGATGTAGAGATTATTTTTTAGCATGATGGTGTTCAAGTCTTTTTAC